TTGCTAAATTTCGATCGAAATTTTCTGATTGGCTGGATGAATGTGTAGAAGTTCCTATTTGCGTATCAACTGTTGGTGCTCCCTGTAAGCAGTATGAGGATTTGAGCTCAAAATCAAAGAGGAAAAGGTTATCAACTTCACTAGAAACCTTATCTAACGAAGAAGTTTCGGACACTTTTAAAGCAATGTTAAGAAAAGAAAAACAGCCTTTGGATGCCATAAAAATTGCAAATATTCTTCCAACCGCATCACCAAGACGACTGAAAAGAATTGTAAAGAGTATACCCACACCATCATCTGATACAACGTTCACTGAGGAAGAAGCTATTGCGCTTATGTTGCAGCTGGGATTAAGTCGTGATAACTACATAACGTTAAGAAAGGCGCTATCTGAAAAAGGAGTGGATGTATGATGTACACTTAATCTCAAAAATAAGTATACAGAAATACTGACAATTGGTTTTATTTAAAAAAGGATATTATTTTTTCAAAAATCAAAAAAGTAACACATTTATTAATTAAAAACAATTAAGATATTTATTATTCACTACTTTCTTCCGGGTTATTTTGGTTACTTGAGTTCTCATTTAAGATGTAGTTAAATAGGTGCAAAATTTACGTCACAAAAGTAAGTATACATATAATTTCAATATGTATTTGGCTTAATGATATTAACAAAATACATGAAAATTTTACCTGTTTGAATGTAACTATTTTATAATAAAAAATTCTGTACACTATAACATAGAAAAAATTCACTTTTTGTTCCGAAAAATTGAAATTTTTGGTAATTGATCTGAATATTATTTATAGCAGCATTTTTTCCTATTTAAGAACATCTGACTATTTAAACCCCCTGAGTTTTGGATCGGGTATTCAATAATATCCCTCGATTGTTCATTATGATGCATTGGAAGACGACATTTTAACTTTTAAATTAATTTTTTCTTTACAATAATTGCAATCCATTGCGGAACATTGCCGTTTTTAACATAGTATAGCGTTCATATTCGATATTTAACGGCGATTTCCTAAAATTTATATCTTAAAATGCGATATTAATAATATTTGTACTAGTATCCATTAATTAAAACAATTTTTTTGGTTCCAATCATCCATTACACACTCCTAAATACTACCAATAATCGTCAAATGGTGACCATGTCAATAACTTACACTACATATCGGTTCTGAAATTGATTATTGTCCAAAATAGTACGATTTTTATATTAAATCAGGCTCAATTGGTGGTATGAATACGAATTGAACAATTTTGAACACGGATACATCTTAATTTGTTGCTAGAACAAATAAAATGTCCGATCCATAAAACATGGTTATTGTATCGAGCATATCAATATATGATTGGTAGTATTATTGTATGCTTTGGAAATCGGAGTATTTGGAAAACCTGTTTAAATTAAAGGAAATATATAGAGTTATCCAAATTTTAAAGTTTATGTTGTAAGTCTTAAGAAATCGGAGTTAAATTTCGGTTATTTAAGAACGTACTGTGTTCAAAATGGCCAAATCCATGCATATCGCATTAATTTCGAAATAACAACTCTTTTCAAAATTCTATTTCCAATGCATCATTTGGAGGGTTCAATGACCACCAGATCCAAAATCCGGGGTCTAAAGTGGAAAAAAAATCGTAGAAATGAGAAAAAACTGTTCTACTACTTAATTCCGGAGCCAATCGGCCCAAATTTCAAGATTTCGGAACTAAAAGTAGATTTTTTCCAAGTTATTGTGTAGAAAATATTTTATTAAAAAGTAATTATATTAATACAAGTAAAATTTTCATAAATTTTGATATCATTAAACCAAATATATACTGAAATGATCTGTATACTTACTTTTGTGACGTAAATTTTGCACCTTTTTAACTTCAGCTTAAATGAGAACTCAAAGAACCAAAATATGAAGAAAAAAAGTAGTGAATAATAATTATCATAATTGTTTTTAATAAATAAATGTGTTACTTTTTTGTTTTTTGAAAAAATAATATCTTTTTTTTTAAATAAAACAAATCGTCAGTATTTCTGTATACTTATTTTTGTGAGTAACTGTATATGACAAAATAAATGAAAAGAAGAAAAGCATTATACCATCTCCTATTGAAATAACTGATCGGAAGGCTGTTATTGGACTCGACGCTCTACTCGAAAATACTGCTTTAAGGATTGCTTCTGACTTTTCTTCAGACCAACTTAAAAAAATTAATTCTTGTGATCTTCAACTCATTTGTAAGTGGGGATGTGATGGATTATCAGCACTCTCGGAATATAAACAAATCAACACAATGAATCATCTTCTGAGTATAAAAGTGTACTTATGGCATCGCTAGTTCCATTAAGAATTCGAAAGTATGCTGACAGCGATTCTCCATCAACCAGTTTCGATGATATTTGGAAGAATTCGACTCCAGGATCCAAAGCTTTTTGTAGGCCAATAAGCTTTGAGTATATAAAGGAATCCAAAACAACAACGCAAGATTTGATAAATCGTATTGAAGCAGAAATTAAAAACTTGGAACCTATAACAATCGAAATAGAAAATTATTCGTTTAACATGTCCTATAATTTAAAACTTACAATGATTAATGGGAAAGTTGGAAATGCCATTACAGGAACATCATCTACTTGGTACTGCTACATATGTGGTGATAAAAAATCAGAATTTTCGAATATTTCCAAGCAAAGGTCAATAAATGAGGAAACATTACAATTTGGAATATCCCCCCTATATGCTCGCATACGATTTCTGGAACATTTTCTACATTTAGCATATGATTTAAAGTACAGAAGCATACCGGAAAATGCAAACAAAAGTGCAAATAACAATAAGGAGTTAATGGAAATGAGAGCCAGTGAGAAACGAAGAATTCAAGAGGAATTTAAAAAGCGGATGGGATTAAATATTGATAAACCACTCACAGGATATGGAAGCACAAACGATGGTAATACCGCTAGACGTTTTTTTAAACATTTTGAAACTACTTCCGAAATAACCGGAATTAGTATGGATTTACTGCAAAAGGTCAATATTATTCTAATGGCGATAAATAGCAAGCATAAAGTGAACGCAACAAAATTTGGAGAGTATTCTACAAAAGTTTCTAAATTACTTTTGGAATTATATCCCTGGAAAGAAATGACACCTACAGTTCACAAGATATTATGTCATGGAAAGGTCATCATAGAACATAATATTCTGCCTTTAGGAGAGCTTACAGAAGAACCCCAAGAATCGAGGAATAGAGACTTTAAGCATATTCATCAGTTTAGCTCAAGGAAGTGTTCTAGGCAGTCTCAAAATGAAGATATTTTTAATAATCTGATTCTATCTTCTGATCCTGTTTTATCTACTATAAGGAAACGTTGGATTTGCTACAAAACGTTAGCATTTGAAAATATTCATGAATTTAAAGATTTACTTTATCTTTTAGATATGGACTACTGTGATACCGATTATTTTACAAAATTATATTAATTTATAAAAAAAAAAATAAATAAAGACTATTTTTATATAAAATAAATACTTGTTAATTTTTTTAGGGATAAAGAATAAAAGATTAATCGTAAAAAGTGGCTGTAAAAATTCATAAAAATTTAGGTAGTAAAACATGCCTAACAAATGTATGGATGAAAATAATAGTACTAGGTAAATTCTCTAAAAGATGTTGAGTTTTCCCTAATTAATTTGTCACTTAAAAACATTAGGTAGGCATGTTATATATCAATGGAAAGGTAATTTTGTCTATTTTTCAAAACTGTATATAATTTTTGAAAATTAAAAAATTCGCGGAATACTTTTTTTAAAAAAATTAAAAAATGTTTTTTATTCAGTTTTTGCGAAGATACAAATTTTTCAAATTGCAATAAAAATTTTATTTATGAATATTTGTTGATGAAATTTTACAGTTAGGTAGATTTTTTTACTCAAAATCTAAAATTAAATAAAAAGTTCGAATTTTCTTATTAGAAATCCCGGAATTCCCAAAAAAGTTTTAAAAAATCCCAAAAATGGGATTTTTTGGTTTTTTGCCTATTATATCCATACCAGGGGCGGGGTTATCGAAACCCGTTACAAAATGATTAAGAACATATTGGGTCATATAAAACAGGTCACTATAATTTGATATCGACTATGCGATTTGAGAATTTATGCTCAAAATTGAATTTTCTATAAAAAAATAGGGTTTTTTGGATGGACCTGGTCCCCTCGGTATCAAAAATTTTTAGGTTTTGTTTCATTTATCGTATTTTATGTAAAGTCAGCTTTTCAAAAAGTATAAATTCTATATACATCTTCTTAGAAACTTTTTAGATAACTTAAAAAGAAAAAGATACTTTTTTCCCAAAAAAATGGCAAAAAATCGCCTTTTTTAATTTTTTAATTTAAAATGCCTATAAGTTTGGACTAGTCATGATTTTTACATAATTCTTTCACTGCTTGATATATAAACTTGTTGTTAAGCGAATAAAAAAAGAAATGGCGAAAATCGGGAATATTTGGACCCGCTATTATCAAAAAACTAAAGTAAGAACGGTAAAAATTTTAAAATTTTAATTTTCAAATGCGAATATCTCCTAAACTATAAGAGATAATTTACTGCTATGACGACATTTTTTATAGTGCTCGATGAGGAGATTCTATATACGAAATTTTTTTTAAATCGGAACTCAAATGAAGAAATAGGATCGTTTTAAAAATTTAACATAGCCGAGGTGTCCTAATTTGAGGACCCCCCGCCGGGCCCCTGGTTGGCCTATAAGGTCCAAATTCAAAACCTAAACTCGACAACACCTCCTCTTTGTGCATACCAAATTTCATTAAAATCGGATTAACCGTTTAGAAGTTACCGAATTATTTCCCTCTTTTTTTTTCCTATACCACTGTGCGACGTTATTTTCTTAATTGTTCTGTTTGAGCTTTGTACAAACATTTTCGTATTAACGATGCAAATCGAAGCACTAACGACGCAACTTCAAAACATGCGACGCAAACTGAAACAAAAACGACGCAACTTCGAAATCTCAGAGATTTTTAAAAAGACTCAACTTCGAAGCAGACGCAGAACGAGGCGACGCAAACCGATATTGATATTAAACATTCGAGCTGTTAACTTATCATGTAGAGATTGGCTATTAAAGATGGGCAATGGGACGCTAAGCACAGAGTTTGGAAAAGATGAAATTTATATACCAAATGATACGCCGACGCAAGATTCCATCTTCGAAAATATTTTGCCACACGTAAGCCACTTGATGTAAGAAAGACTCCAAATCTGACAGAGATCAACGAGGAGGTATTACTCATTTTGGAAGGCTTGTGTTCCAACCTAAGCTCAGAGTTAGACCTAAGAAAGGTGGGAACATATTTGCCAGTTGCATTTTCATGGTTCGCAAATGGCGTCAAAATATATGCTATTCATGCTGATGGAAAGCAGGAAATGCTTTGTAAGGGCAGTTCAATAAAGTGTTTAAAAAGTTTTATTTAAATTTTTAAATTTTAATTAAATTTTTAACTAATAAATGTTTGTTCTATTTCGTTAATTAATTATCATTTGTATTGTATTTTTATTTATTATCCTAGATTTTTTTCATACATATCGTCACCTAAAACGCAAACGGCCCTAACTAACCAAAAATTCAAAATCGATTTTATTGGTGTCAACACCAAAAATTCGACTCCTCCGACCATAATTATCGATTTTATTGACAGAAAACAAAAGGCCCTATCTACAAAAACATTTAAATATTAAAGGTAAAAAGTCAAATTTATCCATTTTTATATACGCCATTGTCAACTATCATAACAAATGATGTTTCACTATTAAACAATTTGTTTAATTACTACAAATAAATCGCGTTGAAAGAAACAAGCTCCTTAATTTAAATAATTTTTTGCTTCTCCTGTAAAATTTTAGTAATTTTAGATAGGGCCGTTTGCGTTTTAGGTGACGATATATTTTTTGGCTTATTTCTCTGTCAAGCAGATTCATTTCTTTTGCTTGACAGGGACAGGCTTAACAGCTAGGAATGTAATAATTTCAATTAAAAACATTAAATAATTTTATTTAAATATTTGAAAATCCTAAAATTTTACCGAAAAATTACAACATTTATATAAATTTGGAGTCGTTTACAAAATTGTGTTATGACAAAGGACCTTTTTATTGTTTGATATAGCTTACCAAACATTGACACCAGGAATAGAATCAATCACCCCTATCGCCAATACAAGTGAAATTTTTATTTCCCTCGAAGGGAAAATTGCTATCGTGAAATTGTTGTGAACAATTCATTCACAATAGTTGATTTTGTATGGAATCAATGTTTACAAAGTTCCATCAAAAAATTTTACAGCAAAGGTTTTTTTTCACGACGAAAAAGTTAGTTAAAGAAAAAAGTGGAAAGGGAACACATTTCACGTGAAATGTTAATTGGCGATAGGGTGAATTAAACTTTCATTTTAGTAGGGAACATTGTCACCTTATTTTCCTTCAATTCAAATTGAGCCACCCTAATTTATGTATGTATTTATGTATATAATTATGTAGTATGTATGTATATATTTTTCTTTAATTTGTAATATCTGTTTAATGTAGTTAAACTGGGAAACACTTATTCCTAACAACTGGAGCGGTCCTATAGTCGTTAGAAGTTCTGATTACCTGAAAGCTGTTGAAGAACTGTTAACAAAATATCCAACACGTGTTGCACATAACTCCATGCTGGTGTTGTTCGCACTTGGAATTCTACCTCAAGGTCCCCCTAATCCCTTAGTATGTACACGAGCTACTATGTGGGCTCTACCTGATATAACATCTGCATTATTTATAGCTCAACATTCATCGGATGATATTAGAGACGTTATAAGACGTGTAAGTGAGTTAAAACAAAAATGAGACTTGCTTATAGAGTGATTTTTTTTTATTTCCTGCTTAGACTGAGGTTATATTTAAATCTCTAAAAGCACATCTTAAACGTGCCCCATCTCTTAAAGGTGCAGCTCTTGTAAAACTATCTGCTTTGAAAATACAATCAGAGCCTTGGAATGGATTTTCAAATATTACAGCAATGATAAAAGTTTTAGAATCGATGGAAATCACCTCTGACAATTGGTTTGAAAATATTTTGAAGATCTACCAACGAAATAAAGCGGTGCCTGATATTATTGATATGAACATGGATTCTCATGATGCGTACGTTTTCCAGTTATAAAGATGTTCTTTTTTTGCTAAAAACATATTTTTTAATTTTTTGTAGGTGGGCGTATCCTATTGTAGCAAAAATTTTCTATGATACACTAAGTCATTCCATAGGTTTGTACCTTAAAACACACATAATTTGTTTTCTTAAATTTTACTATAAAAACTTTACGCTTCATTTTCCTGCAAACATTATTCAATTTAAATATATATGTATAATTTTATCGTATGGGTATTTTGATCAAAAAAGTGCTAGTTTTTTTTTTTTTGAAAAAAATGTTTTTCTTTTATAGTAAAATATTTGAATTTAAATTTTTAAAATAAACTACAAAAATAATAATATTTTAAACTTAGTACGCAAACGTACCAACACAAAATCAGATAGAACCAATTCAGATTCTGGAACTGCTACATTGGAACTAGTCAGTGTTGCCAAAACTTTTAGGTCCCATCCCACCAGATTGAGTTTTGAAAAACGCCAGAATCCGCTAAATCCACAAATAAAAACGCTAACTTTTACCGTAAAAGTTTATTTGGCAGAAAGCCGATTTTATTAAATAAAACTGTTTATAAAATTAATAGGAATTTAATTTTTCGGTAAAATATGTATGTATACATTCATATAAATTAATTAATATCTATCCATTCAAAATTATCTTTTTGAGAACAAGAATACATTTCACTGGATCCAATTAAATTAAAATTAAAATTAATTAATTTAAATTAAATTAAATTTAAATTTGGATTTTACGATATTTAGCTGACTGAAAACTCATTCTTCTTCCGCATTGGACCATGGCATACAAAAAACTTGCAAAGCAAAATCTATATATAATTGCAATACGTGTAAAAATACATGTTATATAAAATAAAGCCTTTCCTAAAAATTCAGCAATTCATCTAAAAGAAGACTAAAATGTGAGTCACCAATATCTTTCTGTAAGTCTTCCTTAAAGTGTATTGACAAAACATTTTTAACGATTTTGGAACACTTGGTTCTATGTAATCGAATTTGTTGACAGTTCGTAGAATCGTCAAACTGGTTCTTTAAAAGCGACGTCAAATGATCTACAGGAGCTATAGGTCCGTGTTGACAAAAATACATTGATAATGCAGCTTCATTCATTTGAATTTTATGGTCCACTCTTTTCTAAATTTTTGATTATAGGTTAGTTTACCCATTTTCCCGCATAAAGAGGTTGTCAACAAAAACGCTTATTGCAAATATATTTATATTTTTTCTTACCAATAAAGTATTTTTTTATAAAAACAATATTTAAATCGCCGTTTTGGCAACACTGGGACTAGTAATATCGTTATTAATTCTCGAAAAAGTGCTGTCGAAAAATGTTGTTATTAACAAGGACTTCTGAAATGAAATCAGTTCAACTACATACTTAAAACCAGTAGAAAAATATCTAAAATTTTTCGAAAAAAAATTTAAATATACCCAGCAAAAACTCTGAAATTTTTGGTAATAGCCAGTAGTTATTTCATATATTACTTGGTAATGAGTGTTCATTATCTTCTACATTATTTCATATAGCTGAATAGGTTATTACTGGTAAAGAACAAAACAATTTGGATTTGTTATGGCTCAATTGTCTATACGTTCATTTAACAAACAGGGGGTTCGTAGTTCGAGCCCTGCTGGATACTGTTTATTTTTTTCTTCAAAATGACATTCATTTATATATTTTTGTAAAAAGCCGTTCTCAAAATTACAAAAAGCAACATGTTAATGGAGCATCGAGTAAGCGGCTGGAGTGAGAAACATAGAAAACAACTGAATGTCTGGGTTCAAATCCCGGCCGAGGATTTTTTTTTTATTTTTTGTTTTCTACATACAAAGTTGGCCCAAAATAAATAGCTATCACATAACATATTTGTAGGTTTATTTGTAACTAGTTATTTCGCAAACAGTGTTGCCAACTTAGTGCTTTTAGCACATTTGCGGTGCTTTTTGGTGTGCCAAACGCGGAAAATTTTGCTCATGGTGCCTTTTTTCAAAAAGGCACTACAGTGGTGCTTTCTAATTTTATGACAGTGCATTTAGTGCTTTTTATACCCACCATCAAAAAAGATGAGTGGGGTATATTGATTTTGTCACTCCGTTTGTACCACATCGAAATATTGGTCGTAGACCCACAAAAGTATATATATTTTGGGTCCTTATTAAATTCTAAGGCGATCTAACCATGTCCATCCGTCTGTTCATCTGTCCGTCCGTGTGTCTGTTGAAAGCACAATAGGGTTAGAACGGAAAGAGCAATCGAGTTAAATTTTTCCACAAATATTTCTTATAGGTAAGGTTTGTTTGGTGTTGCAAATGGGCAATATATCCCCCATACAAGGGCAAATTTGGCATAAATAAGTTTTATATGCGTCAAAATCTCTGTACCAAATTTTATGGGAATCGGTCCAAAATTGACCCTACCCCCCATACGAGTATAGCGATGAAATTCAACATAAGTAAGTTTTATATAAGCCAAAATCTATACTAAATTTTATAGAAATTGGTCTATAATTGACCCTAAATATATAAGTTCTCCTTCAGAAAGTGATTTAAACGGTCATTACTGACTTAAAAATAAGAGTATAGCGATGAAGTTCGGCATAAATAAGTTTTATATAAGGCAAAATGTCTCTACCAAATTTTATGGGAATCGGTCCATAACTGACCCTACCCCCAAATAAGGTCCCCCTATGAGTGCAGCGTTGAAATTCAACATAAGTAACTTTTATATGCATCAAAATTTCTCTACCAAATGACATTAATACTCATTACCGACTTAAAAATATTCGACATAAATATGTTTTATATTTATGTCGAATAAGCCAAATCTCTCTAGCAAATTTTACGGCAATCGGTCCATAATTGACCCTATCCCCACATATGGTCACCTTCAAAAATTGATTTTAACGCTTATTACTGACTTAAAAATACGAGTATAGCGGAGATATTCGAAATAAACAACTTTTATACAAACGTAATCTTCCTACCGAATTTAATTCGGATTTGTCGGTAACCTACCCTACCCCCTATTAAGGTCCTATATGAGTACAGCGATGAAAATTGACAAAAAATAAGTTTTATACAATTTTTTTACACAATTGAACCTATCCCTCATATATAAAGCCTCAATGATTACTTCATCGTTGTACTCGCAATAAAATGATTTTTATTATAATTCTTCATTCCGAATTTTATGACGATTGGTCTATAACTGACCAACAAAACAAAATCTATGTACAAAATCTATCATTACCTAGTAATCTAGAAAGTAATATTGGAATCACGTGGAAACTAATTACTCTTGGGGTGAATAATATGTACCTACCTTAAACAAATTAATAAATAGTTACTAATAAGATTACAAAAACTTTGCGAAATAGCTAGTTACAAATAAACCTACAAGTATGTAATGTGATAGCTAGTTATTTTGGGCCAACTTTGTATGTAGAAAGCAAAAAATAAATAATAAAAAAATTCCTCAGCCGGGATTTGAACCCAGGCATTCAGTTATTTTCTATGTTTCTCACTCCAGCCGCTTACTCGATGCTCTATTAACATGTTGCTTTTCGTAATTTTGAGAACGGCTTTTTACAAAATAATATAAATGAATGTCATTTTGGAAAAAATAATCGGTATCCAGCAGGGCTCGAACCACGAACCCACAGTTTGTTAAATGAACGCCCTAGACAATTGAGCTATAACAAATCCAAATTGGTTTGTTCTTTACCAGTAATAACCTATTCAGCTAAAAGAAATAATGTGGATGATAATGAACACTCATTATCAAGGAATGTATGAAATAGCTACTGGCTATTACCAAAAATTTCAGATATTTTGCTGGGATATTACATAAGCTTTCCAAATCTTAAAATAGTGTCTATATCCACAGTAATTTCTACTACTTAGTGGATATAATGAGCCGTAAATACCCACGCTTCTTCGGAATTCATTCCACAGACGGTTAAAAATCACTAATTGCTACTTTTGAAGTGATGATAAATGTTATTCTTTTGGAAGTATTTCGCTTTATTTTTTGCTGGGTAGCTTCAAGAAGAAGCACATGAACTAATTATCATTCAGATTTCTCTGTTTTTAACATGTTTTGCATAATTATCAAAAAAAACAAAGAAAAACAAAGATTTTATAGAATATTTTAATAAAGCGATATTTAATTTAGATAACTAACAGTTAAATAAATTTTACTTATATTTAACTAAAATGTAATGTATAATACAAAAGAAAACTATTAGTTGGCTATTCTGCAACTAACTTTAAGTTAGTTGACGAAGAATTAATTTTAAGCAAATTTTTAAGTAACTGACTTTAAGTTAGTAATGCAGAGTCAGACAATTGAATACATAATGCCTAGGACATCGCCATGTTAAATTAGTCAGTTGGCTCCATTAATAATAATCCAAAAATCAACCATAACTAGTTGATGCAAATGTCGGCTTTTAATGCATTTAGAGTTAGTTGAGTTGCTGACAGGGTATTTATGGTCTATAAACTGATAACGGATAAACCGATTTTCTTCAAATTTCCACAGTATGTCCTGTAATCACTCATTGTTTTGAAATTTTTAATGGGCGCCTACGTTAAAAATAAGTCGCGACTGTTTTTTATACACACCCAGAAAGAAAATAGTTTTTCTGAGTGAAAACTTTTTTGTTTTCAAAACAAAACAACTTTTTAACTCCCTATTTGGGAAATTGTCAATAACTTCGTTGTTGTTTGTCGATATAAATGTTTTATACCTCGTTGGATAGACAATTCAATAAATTTGCAAGTAAATAACACATAACAAACATGAATCGGATGATATACGTCTGAAACTGTAAATTTAATGGAGAAAAACTGCATTTTTATACCCACCATCAAAAAAGATTTTATCATTCCGCTTGTAACACATCGAAATATTGGTTTTAGACCCACAAAAGTATATATATTCAGGGTCCTTATTAAATTCTAAGACGATCTAGCCATGTCTGTCCGTCCGTCTGTCTGTTGAAGGCACGATAGAGTACGAACGGAATGATTGATATTTTCCACAAATATTCGCTATAGGTAAGGTTTGTTTGGTATTGAAAATGGGCAATAT